AGTCCACAGATGCACTGATATGTGTGATGACTTTGGTGTATCTACTAGCTGGATTCTACTCTTAAGATTTAACAGACGTGATATCTACAAGAATTCTTCTCAGAGAACTCTTCTCAATCTTCTTGAGAATATCGCTGTAAAGAAGAGATAGACTTTCATACACACATCCACCTGTCTTTGCACAGCAGTTTATCATGTATACGCATACATATATCTGTAACACTGTATATGTATGTATAGCTAATACATCACTGATAGACAGACATGCTAATTTAAGGGTGGAGAAATGTGACATTCTTTCTTTGTCAGTCTCTAGTAAGACAACTGCCAGGCAACAAACCTCCCAAAGTTGTATTTACAGCAGTATTTATAAGCAACATTCCAGTGTCTTTTCTAGTGATAGATAAAATAACTGCAGATGTTCTGTAAGCAGGGGATATTTAAAAGCTTTTTGTGGAAGATAGATAGTATGTAGTATATTTATTACACCTATATAAACGATAGTTCTACATGATATTATGACACATTTTTATTTAATTAAACTTTAAATATCTCCTGTTTGGAGAGAATACTAAGCTCTGAAAATAAGCGGGGTGGGAGAACAAATGTCTCAGTTTTTTACACTGTTAATTAAACACCATATGAACAAAGCAGTACAGTAGTAAAAAAGGGACATATTTTTGTGTCTGTGAGAATGATGACTGTTTAAAAAGAAATATTTTCTGAAATAAGTGATGCCACTTACAAAAAAAAGGCTCCCAGAAACAGTTTAGTGTCTAGACAGTTACTGAAAAATTTAGCTTACTTCTAGTTTACTGCTCTTCAAGTCAAAATAATTCCTAGCTATAGCCATCTTGTGATACCAAGTGAATATGACTTGGTTTGAATATGTCACACACCTTATTGTTATTTATCTATTTTACACAAGATAGAAATCTCTAAATCTGCCATGATCTCAGTTTACATTTAGAATAAATGTAACTGTTCTGCTTATTACATAGATGAAAAAAAATTACTGTGCAACTTCTGTGTTCCTGGTTTTCCACCATCTTTTTTAAATGTGTGTTTTCAGATTTGATAGCTTTGTATTGAAATTCCAGCAACTAGGAAAATATTTAATTCTTAGTTAAATAAAATAATGTTGCTGTTAACTTGAAATAACATTGAGTATAGACATATGTAAGTTTAATTTTACAAAATAAACATAAAGAATTATGAAACTAACTATAATAGTATTTCTTTAAAAATACAGCAGTACTAAAGCAGAAAGAAGCCTTAAACCATCTACAAAACAAATACAAATGTAATGCCTCTCATTTTCTTTACCTTTTTGAAAGAAGTAATCACTTAGGAAATTAAACAATTTCATATGCAGGTACAAGATACAAACATGGAGAGATTTTACAGGCCACTGAAAATGGATGTAATCCCAGTCATGAAGCCTAGGAATGACATCCACTCTCTTAGTGATAGGGAAAGGGAAGGGAATATGGCCTGGTATAGGATATCACGCTGTAGGAGACATCTCTCATTTTCCCAAACACTAACTTTCCTATTGTCAAAAGAAAAGTATTACATTAATCACCATTTTCAATGTGCAGTGACCCTCTGAGAAAACCCAGAGATACCCAGAAACCTCTAAGTAACAAGATTCTTCTGGTTTACAAAACTAAGTAATGAAGATAAGTTATTTGTTTTTAAAATTGAGATTTGCCATTAAAACATTGGTATGATAGAGTTTTCAGGTTTAACATTACCAGAATTTTCTAACCAGATTTATAACATTCTTCAAAAAGCTTTAAAATACCTGGAAAATTAGGAAACCTTCTAGATAATCTACTAAGCAGTTCTAATGAAAAAGTGCATATAATAATAACAAACTGGAAGTTTTCAGAATCTTTTGAATGCTAAAATGGTAACTGCATTTGATGGTCAGAATGAATTGCAATTTAGATGTACAATTCACATTTACTGGTGCTTTCTTGTTCCAGTACCAGTTTGGCTCCTTCAGTAATACTTGATGAAAACTACAGCAAGAAAGGTAATGTCTTTTTTGCACAGGCAGTGTATGTTTTCTTATCAACAGTGTAGAGTACAATGTTGTAGGCTGGTTTTGCCTGTTTGCATACCTGTTGTTTTGCTAACAATTTATCTTTTGTCTCTAGCTCCATTTTTAACTGTATTTCCAGAAGACTGGCTTTCTCCATCATAGTTGCTATAGTAATCTCCTTCTGATGAAGCTCTTCTGTAAGGTCAGAGATTTCTGTCCTCATTCTTTTCTGCTCAGAGCAATGGGACTGCTCCTCTGATAAATATGGGTTCTTATCTGTAGCAAATATTTTTCAAAAAGAAAAAAAATGTTGTGCAGTAAATATGGTTGCATCACTTTCTACCTATCAGTGTTTTTTTTTTGCTGTTGCTTCCAAGGCACCAACTCTTATAGCCAAATCAGAGATTTTTGAGGTTGTATAAAAAAATGTGTTCATGAGTCATTACATACAGCTTTATTTACTTTTAATTTTTTCAACTCTTCTGCTTTCATTTGCCTATTTTGTATTAGAAATGAACAAAATACAAGGCATTAAATTAACATTTAAAAAGAGTGTAAAGAAAGTAACGTTGGTTTTAAGAATTGGAATTTATGGCAAAAAAATATTCAAAGAAATATCCATTCCTTAAACCTAAGTATGATTTATTTGTATTGCTCCTAAGTTAACTTAGGTTTAAAATAAGTTTAATGCAGCCTAAATTAACTTAGAAACAATATAAATAAATCAACCTAGCAACTATTTAATGAGAAACTATGTTAGAAATAAAGAGTATATAAGGTAAATCACTTGATGAGAATTATTCCTGCCATTATATATAAGAGCAAATTTTTATAAAATCAGATTACATGTAAAGTCAAACTTTCTGCACTACCTCCTGTGTGGAGTTCTCCAAAGAATCAACACAAAAATTGTTTTCATAATCTACTGCAACCAATAATTTAGTACTGATAGATTTTTATATTATCTAAGAAACATAACTACAAAAATGAGCGTAACAACCTTTGAGCCCCTTTTAATAATTCCTGACAGTATTGTTCACAATCAGTAACAGATGGCAGATTTTATTTGTGCAAACTACACAGAAATACTAGAATTGTAAACAAACAAATGTAGATGCAAAAAACCTAAAAGCTAGATTCTGACTATCGTGCCAAAATAGCTGCATCCAAGTCAGCTGCATCCAACTGCTTACATTCCTACTCAGCAAAACCACAACATGCCTGTAAAAGGAGTTCTGAGCACCCTCTGCTCCCAAAGTGTTTTGGCCTGCCAAGCCATATGCCATTCCACAATGCCATGGCACTACTGCTTGTGATGGATAGTTCAAATGAAAGAGCACTGCCCTAGACTGTGCAGCAGATGACTGATTAAGTTTAGCCTTGTGTGGGTACCTGCCTCAGTGACCTGTATCAGTTGAGCTGTTAGCATATCTTACATCTGAGACCACCTACAAACTACTAAGCTCCTACAGCCTATTAATTACTCATAGTGTTGGAGGGTTTATTCCTTGCATGGCATTACCTGAATCACCGTGATGCTCAGGCATGGTCTCTTCCATTATTTCAATGAGGTACCTCGCTCTGTTGTTAGTGCACAGAATCAGAGTGTCCATTTCACAGCTACACAGCTACCTCCAGAAAACTTTGTCATGTGTGCAAGCTTCATGATCTTTTAAAATCACTTCTCCTCTGCATATGCACCTACACAAGGTCAATATTTTGCTCTCTTCTAAAAATCCTGTAATGCAGTTAAGATCAGGAAATACTTAATAATATGAAATACCTTGTTTAGCTCTTCTCATTTGTGTTCTTGACTTTGTGCCAACAGTAATAACTCAGTGTTTTTATTTTCTGGTTGCTCAGTAAGTTGTACAGAAGATGATACATGCCTAGAAATAAGAAATAAACAAAATATGAAACAAGCAGAACCTCCAATAACCTTTAACTTACATTATCCTCTCCACAATTTAAAACTGTTGAAGACCTGCTTGGTAGTGAAAAAAAGCTAAAGATTTGGCCTAAACCAGGTTGGATCTTGGCAGATTTCTAGAGATTAAAGACAATGCAAGTGAATGCAGAAGGAATCCTGAAATCTTTTGTAGACTGATACTTCATATAATCCCAAATAGCTATGGTTGATTAGATAAACCATAAAAAGATGAACATTTTACTCAAAGGAAGGTAGGGCAAATCTTTATCACACTACTTCCAAAGCATTTTAATACTGAGAAAATGAAAGAGACTGTAAACATATAAATAGAAATACATGACATGAATTGATTTGTAAAGATCTGGGCAGCACTAAAGTCCTTTTACACAGCCTGCATCTACTGCCTGATATCTTGTCATATATAATTGCCAATGAAAATGTTTATTCTAAAACTGTTCAGAGACTGACATTTGAATCCAGAGTATCTTTGTAAACAGACTTAATTTAAATCTAAGAAAAAAGTTATTAGCTCAGAAGTACTTTTTAATTTAAATATTGTCTTCAACATACATTAATTTCCTGCACATCTTTATACTCTTTGATTTTCAATAGTTCTGTATGCAACTGTTGGCATTCCAGTTTTAACCTTCTCCAGAGAGCATCCTGTGACTGCATCGCATTTCTCATTTCTGAAAAGCCTGCCTCCATCTTCTAAAGACACAAGCAAATAGATAAACAGTTAAATAAAATTAGACAGCTCAAAATGCTGTATTTTAACACATCATTCTCAATGCCTGTATAATTTCTATGAAAGGACATACATGCTTTTATTTCGAGTTTAATTTCTGAAAAAGGCATTGCTTTCATGTCAGTTCCTTTCCCCAGAAATGTCATCTAAAAGTTGGATGTTGAATATTCTTTGGATCTTGAAATGTTTCAATGCATCTGTCTCTGAAGCCATCATAGCAGACATCATTCATTCTTTATGGTACTAAATGCATCTAAAATACATAGTTTGCTTGTTTCAGCAGGTTCTGCATCCTGGAAGCTGCTTCAAGTGCATGAATTAATGCCATAAGTAACTTCCATTTTCTATTTTTCTGACAGCACTTCCAAATTTATAAACCTGAAAACTACAAAGCTACAGAAAGGCAGGATTAGGTACATTGCCTGGAATCTTGGAACAGATACATCTAGACTTAGATACTTAGACAAGGTGTTTGCACAATCATCTCCAAAACTAGTTCTATCCACACGGAGATAATTGCTTATTTAAATGAACTCCACAATCTGAATATACATGTTACATTTGGCATCACAAAATCTTAATTGTCCTCAAAAATCAGAATTCCATCAAAATATAATGAAAACAGACTAAAGATAAGAATTTGGGAATATAATTCACAAATAAAAGTAGTAGAAAATCAGATTCTTACAATAATAATATCCAGATCCAAAAGAATGTTCCAGATTAAAAAAAAAAAAAAAGGGCTTTTTCCAGTGATATTGATCCTTTCCCCTTAAAACTATTACAGTGAAAACATCAGTATTTTTCATAATTTCTTCATTTCAATACAGTTTCCATGTTTAAAAGCAAAAATAAAGCCTTTAAACTTTCAGTAGACAACTGGAATCCAGAAATGACACTGCAAGCAAGGAACTTCAAAGATCTGTTTCCCTTAGAGCTCCATATGTGAATGACCTTCCTTCCAAGAAGCCTGTGGCTTTCCTCTGGCTGAAAGGGCTGCTGAAGACAGATAGGAAACGCTTTTGCGTTTTTCATAGCGGCTGCATATATAGATTCATTCCTCTTAGCTTTGTTAAATTAAGGCTGAGAGAGCTTTTTAAACTCTGAAATGAAAGTCTGGGCATATTCAAGTAAAATAAAGCTTAATGAACTGTTAAGATTGTCTGCAAGACTCGCTTATGATCATCTTCCTGACTTCAACATTCAAGAAATAACCACAATTATTTTATAATATGTGAATTTCAGGGAGCATTATCCCTCTGATTTCATTCTGGAGTGGATAAGGGAATGAAATCTGCACGATTGTGTGGCAGGAGTCATATCATCTGTGGCAGACTGCAGTCATCATACAGATTTACATAAATTGTATTTTCTTCTGTGAATTATAATAATAGCAGGAACAACAGCAGCCGCCACAGAAATAATTGAAACAGAACTTCAGATCAAGGGTTTCACACATCACTTCAAGAAAATAATTTAGATATGTACCACTTATTTCTTTCAGAAATATATATTGCATGTAGTAAAAAATCGCTAAAATGAAAATTAATTTTGAAGCAGAAAACTTCAGGTTTTGTTTAGAAAACATCTAATGAAATAGCACATTTAACAGTTTTAAATTTACCAAATCCTCTCTTTACTTCAGTGAAGTTTTGCTTTGCATAGTTTTCTGTGATTGATATCAAAAGGACGTCTCAAAAATTTCTGATTGGCTCCCATTCTCATTCTACTCGAAGCTGTTCCTTGTGGATTGACCCAGGCTAGATGCCAGGTGCCCACCAAAGCTGCTCTGTCACTCCCCTCCTCAGCTGGACAGGGGACAGAAAATATAACAAAAGGCTCATGGGTCAAGATAAGGACAGGGAAAGATCACTCAGCAATTACCGTCATGGGCAAAACAGACTCCACTCAGCGAAATGAATTTAATTTATTGCTAATTATATCAGAGTAGGATTATGAGACAAAAAAAAAAAAATCTTCAAACACCTTCTCCCCACCCCTCCCTTATTCCTGGGCTCAGCTTCTCTCCTGAGTTCTTTAACTCCTTCCCCCAAGTGATGCAGGGGGACAGGGAATGGGCGTTGTGGTCAGTTCATCACATGTTGCCTCTGAAGCTCCTTCCTACTCAGGGGGAGGACTCCTCACACTGTTCCCCTGCTCCAGTGTGGGTACCACCCACAGGGTGTAGTCCTTCAGGACCAGACTCCTCCAGTGTGCGTCCCTGAAATGCTGGGGTCTGAACCCCAAGCCCCGAATTAAGGTTGACATGTGGGTGATTCCCACAGCCCTTCATACAGAGGGGGTGAGTTTGCCTTACAGCTTCCCCCCAGGGTGCGGCCGGGCCCGCCGGGAGGGCCAGAAGGGACCACAGCAGGGGTCCCGCACTGAGTTGACAAAGGTCAGGTGTCTGCTTGGGGATAAAAGCTGGGACCACTTGCAGGGAGTCAGGAGTGTCTGTCTGTGGAGTGCACTCCCCAGAGCTTCCTGGTTCAGGGCAGACCTCCTGACTCTCCCTGGAGCTGGGCCCTGGTCTGTTTAGACCTTTGTGTACATGGGCTGATCAGGTGAGAGTTGCCGTGTGGGCACCTTTTCTCTTGTATATTTAGCTTTCTGGTCTGGCTGTTTCCCATGCCAACTATGGGAAACCTCGGGTCTCTGTTCATACTGCCTGTTGTGGGCAGAGTCGTGTCCTTGTGTGGGATCGTTGGGGGTGGCATCAATTATGTACCAGCTGATTGACTTGTTTGTATCCCCGGCAATCATTCACGCAATGTCCTTTTTGCTTACAATACAGTCTGTGTATTGGTTTCTCTTCCTGCTGGCTGTATCATGCTTGTTGGACCTGGTCATTGGCAGAACAGTCAGTGATAGTCACAATAAATCCTGCCGGCAGCCCTGCACCAGTGTGGGCTCTCTTCTCTCCACAGAGCTACAGGTCCTGCCAGAAGCTTGCTCAAGCGCAGGCTTCCCATGGGGTTGCAGTGCCCTGTTGGCATCTACCTGCTCTGCCATGAGGTCTTCTATGGTCCTCACCATGGGCTGCAGGGGGATCTCTGCTCCAGTGCTTGGAGCACCTCCTCCTCCTCCTGACACACTGACCTGGGTGTTTGCAGAGCTGGTTCTCTCACACATTCTCACTCCTCTCTTTGGAAGCAGCTGCACAGCAGGATTTTCCCCCTTCTTAAATATGTTATCCCAGAGGTGCTTCCACTGTCACTGACTGGCTTGGCTTTGGCCAGCAGTGGGTCCATCTGGCATCTTGGAACCGTCTGGCATTGGCTCTATTGGACATTAGGGAAGCTTCTAGCAGCTTCTCACAGAAGCCACCCCCTGTAGCCTCAAACTACCAAAACTTTGCCCCACAAACACAATCCACTGTTTGAACTTTTAGATACAACTACATGCTATATTTCTACATAAATTAGTGCCCAGCTGCTGACTTAATGCAGACTTTTTAGGCTGCCTCTCATGTATGGTGGCAATTAAGTTTGCAGAAATAGCCTGTGGTCTCTGTTTGGATCTTCTAAAGTTCTTATTTTCAGTACAGCTGTGATATTGCACACCACCAGTACCATAGTTATTCTGAAACTTTCTGCCCTTTAGCTGATAATTACAGACATCTATCTCCACTTCTACTTAAAATGTCTTCAGTGCTTCCTACAGCCATTCTATTCTATTCTATTCTATTCTATTCTATTCTATTCTATTCTATTCTATTCTATTCTATTCTATTCTATTCTGCCACCTGCTTGAAGATGTTCTTAATGACTACAGCACAATGACATCTACTCTCTCAGTTTTACAGCGTCTATCCAGCTGCTCCAACTGCCACAATTTGTTCCACTCCATTTTCTAGTCCCAGTGATTTTGATGGTGGCTTTTTTAATAGGTTCAAAACCAGAAGTTTCTGCTTGCATATCAGTAACTTACGTACAGGCAAATGACTCAGTGAACTAATGTGCAGAAGAAATATATAAACATCACATGAGCTAAATTTGCCTGTTTTGACAACACCTGAAATTAACCTCCACCACTTTATAAGAATTAACATAAAGTATATTCCACATGAAGTTATAACTCTGCAAGGTTGTCTATAAACAGAATAGATCATCTTTCTCCAGAAAGAGATGAAGTTACTGTAGGCCACCCAGTATATTACTGAACCTTGAAGCGCTTAAATAAACAAGCAAAAGCATAATTGATATATATTACCAGAAAAAAATAACGAGAATTGCATTCCTGATCTGTTTCAAACATAGCTAACAAAAAAGGCTCTAAAGATCTTGTATTATCTCAATCTTGTCAGAACTCATATATCACAACAAAAAAGAAGAGGTCCAAATGGCTGTCTTCGTAGATCATGGTTGAAAAATGGTAAACAAGGGATAAGATAAAAACTGACAGTTCTGCACATAGCTGTCAACCTAGAAATTCAGTCTTCACTCAATAACGTTAAAGTACACCATACACTTTCCTATATATGTATTTACTGGCTGTATGGCAAAATGTAGAACAAGACGTAAATCAGACACAGAGATTTCAAGGAAGTCATTTATATACAAGGAGCCAAGTGAACCGAGTTCTGGTAGATGCTACAAATACAGGGAAGTTATAAAATTATAGATAAATAGACAATAAAAAATATACTATTACATATGAAACATAGTTCGGGTTTCTCTTAGTATTACTCAAAAATTGCACCATTCACAGCTCATTCTATGTTCCTGCAAAGAATATACCTTATGTATAGATCTTTTATATATGAATCTCATTACAAGTTTTTTAAAGTATACTCCTAAGTAATCAGTTCTCCAATATTAATTCCAAACTCATGATGAATAAGAAAAACTGTTACTACCTGGTACTGGTTTGGGTATGTTTTTAGATCCTCATGGACTTTCAGATTTCCTTCTCCTAGTTCATTCTTGCTTATTGCTTTTTTGTTCACAGTTGCCTGCAGTTTTTCAAAAATCGACTCATGCTTTTCAGTTTTGGGCTGGCCATAGGTAATTACCTCCTCTTGGTTTTGTTTCTTATTGCTTATTTGGAATTGATAAGTCTGTGTCTTCTATAAAAAAAAGAAAATATTTTAAATTAAATTCAATAATTATATATAAATTCTTAGGACCACACCATTACTACTAAAATCATAAAGCTATTTCCACCTTCCCCAGGATTTGCTTGGAAAGGATGATATAATTGCAACAGTCTGAATTACTTCTCTAAAGAATAATTTCTTTTTTTTAGTCTCATGTTTCTTGCTCTCAGTAAAAAAAAATGTTTCAGAAACTTTCAAGGGCATGGAATGTTTTCAAGGATTTGTCTCCTCTGCTCTTTATTTCACTAGCACTTCATGTTAATTAGCCTCAAATGTGAAAAAGGTGATTATGGTGACCTAGTCAAAGCAGTTACCTATAAAAAATAATTTGAGATAAATGTTCTTTGATTTATTGAACTCTGTAGTTGTGTGTGTGCGCCTCAGGATAGATATTAACCTTTGACTAGAGGGCTGGCATCACATCATTCATGTATAAACAGCTCAGTTACTACAGGAACTGTACTTCTTTGATATCATTTTCCCTAAACTGAGGAACAATCATTTGCCCGTTCTGCAGAGTCCCACAATCCATTCAGTTACTTGTACTAATTAAAATCCTAAAACCCAAACTCAGAAAATTGGTATTCTTTGTATTTGTGAATTCACAGGCATCATGAAGAAGCATAATTACTATGGTAACTGTTTTTGCTGTTTAAAAAACTATCCACAAGGATCCCTCTACTGGGAGATTAACAAGCAGCAGTGATCCTTCAGAACACTGAGAATCAGCTGAAAAATGACAACAAAATATGACCTGGAAACCATCTATCACGTGCAGAAAGCAAGCTGAGCAAGAAAATATATCTATTAAAAATAAATAGCATTACAACTACCATATTTCATTGACAAGGACTGCAAAAAGGTATGGTTTAGACAGCTTTTGATGTCATTGGCTATGCTCTCATAAATTGTGTTGGCTGAACAGCTAACGAGAACTGACTACTGGTTACGTATCGAATAAAAAGAGAAAAAAATTTTTAGGTGGGTTTCAGTTCTACAGATAGCAAACTAAGGTCCCCTTGACATAAAAGTTACAGTCTCTGACATAACAAAATATCAAACCATGCTGTGAAAAATATAATGCAAGACTTCATCTGGAAATCAAAGGCCTCACAAAACAAGAATTTAAGACAAAGACATAGGACCAAATAATGCTTTTAAAACAATTAAGGATTAACATCTGACTTCCATTGAATAAATCAGTGTTATGTTACAGTTGAGAAGAAAATTGTCTTCCAAGAAAGTTCACTGATGGCTGTGAAAGCCTCAACAGAAGAATGAAGATGGTCACCCTGAGTACTCTGTTTTGACTTGTTGAAATGCTGGGGTTTGAACCCCAAGCCCCGAATTAAGGTTGACATATGGGTGATTCCCACAGCCCTTCATACAGAGGGGGTGAGTTTGCCTTATAGCTTCCCCCCAGGGTGCGGCCGGCCCTGCAGGGAGAGCCAGAAGGGAAATGAGCCCCAGGGGTCCCGCACTGAGTTGACAAAGGTCAGGTGTCTGCTTGGGGATAAAAGCTGGGACCACTTGCAGGGAGTCAGGAGTGTCTGTCTGTGGAGTACACTCCCCAGAGCTTCCTGGTTCAGGGCAGACCTCCTGACTCTCCCTGGAGCTGGGCCCCGGTCTGTTTAGACCTTTGTGTACATGGGCTGATCAGGTGAGAGTTGCCGTGTGGGCACCTTTTCTCTTGTATATTTAGCTTTCTGGTCTGGCTGTTTCCCATGCCAACTATGGGAAACCTCGGGTCTCTGTTCATACCACCTGTTGTGGGCCAAGTCATGTCTTTTGTGGGATCGTTGGGGGTGACATCAATTATATACAAGCTGATTGATCTGTTTGTACCCCCAGCAGTCACTCATGGAATGTCCTTCTTGTATACAGCACAGTCTACCTATTGGTTTCTCTTCCTGCTGGCTGTATCATTCTTGTTGGGCCTGGTCATTGGCAGAACACTTGTCTAACTGTAGAATCAACGTGCCTCAGTCAGTAGTTTTGTCTAGTCAAACCTTGCTTTTCTAGCCCATTGGTATGGAAGTGCAACAGTTGCAGCAGAATGCTTTCAGCATCTGAAAACAAAACCTAACTGTCATCCTTGGCAACTCAGGATATACATAAAGAGTCTCACAGGAGCTGTTGAGAAAGAGTTTCACTAGATTAAGGTCCAATGAACTTAGTAACAATGCAAAAGGGGATTACCAGTCAGCAACATAATTGGCTTCCCCCTACTCAATTTTCAAGCTGTTTTGTGGCCCAGTTAATCTGTAAGTTATTTTCTAATTATTTTTTAAAAGCAGGATAGGTTATGAAGACATCATTAAATTAATACTTTGTTCTGAATTGAAAGGAATTTAAGTCAAAGTAAATCAAGATCAAAAAAGTCAAAAGTCACAATGTCAATCAAGGGCTGAACAGTAACTTGAAATCTGAAAAATATAAAAAAAGGAATAAGTGATTCAATAAAAAACTCTAAATGTGATTTGGAGTAACATATAGAAATGCACTTTTTTTCATAAATTATATTAATGTATACTTATGATTTAAAAAAAAATAAGGGCTATCAGAGTTCAGGGAACTTTATATTTGTGTCAATATACTTATGGCATGTAATACTTACTTGGCAAGGTTATTTTTAATAACTTGTCATTAGAATTAATTGAATATTAGTAAATAGCATAAAAGATAAATCTTTCTCCACAGCATAGTTAAAAATTAAAGAGGAATATGCACTGATTTTTGCAGGTTTTTTAAAATCAGAATTATTGTAATTGTCATCAAGAAACTTATTTCCTCATTTTCATGAGAAAAATAAAGTAACTGTGTGTGTCATTAGATCTTCTAGTATATGGGTCTGCCTTACCTAAACCCGTGTATTCACTACCAACATATCCATGTATTGTCAGATTAACTAAAAACTTAGTGGTTGGACTTTTTAAAATATGTAAAAATAACTCTAGCTGAGCTAACAGCTCATTTTCTTCCTAAAGCATGAATGTAGGAATTTTACAAGAAATAAATTACATTTCTCAGATGATAATTTTTGTTGAACATCTATATATAGATGATCATTTTAGCAGATTATCCCTTTCTTTTGATTTTATCTTAAGATCCTGAAAGACAGCAAAACAAGGCTAGTAAACACTTTTTCCTTAATCTAAATAACTTTGTATAGCTCTAAGAAAAATCTAATTTTGTAATTAATACATAATCTTTCCATAATTTTGGAAAGAAGAAAAAAGAACAATGCTCTAAACCAGACATCCAGTCATGCCCACCACATAAACAGCCTTAAGGGCTGTTAATCTGAAAAAAAAAAAAAAAATTGGTGGTAAGCATAATCATTGAATAAAAATGATTAAATATTTTTAATCACATTCATTGCTACAGATCTTAGAGTTATGACTGTAGTACACACATTTTATTGGATGGTACTTCCTGTGATTTTGAAGCTATATGAGGGTCAGGTAGAGTAATCAGAAGGGAATCAAACCCTTAATATTCAGACAAATGTGGGTGCTTCCTTTTTTCCTTTTTTTTTTTTTTTTTAACAAATTGGACAGCAGCTACCATGAATAAATTTTACTTCCTTAAACAAAAATTTGTTTAAGAAATTCTGTTACATCAGATTTATCTAATACTTCTTGTATTTGCACTTATATTTCTTTTCATTGTGTATTTGAATTTGCTCTTAAGTCATACAAGATCTTATATGTTCACAACTAGTCTTTAAAGGCAATATCCTACCAATAAGTAAGAGAACTCCAGTTACCAAAGCTGTTGCTCTTTTAGTTTGAAGATTCAGCAGAATAAACGTATCCTGTTTTATACAGTGAAAACTACAATTCTATAAGCTGTTGTGAGAACTTTCTTTTCCACAATGCAGATATTGATTCCAAAAAGACAGATGATCTTTTATAATTATCCTAAACTGGCAAATTCCTCAAATATTAAAAAACAGTTTTTTATTTGTTACTGGAACAAAATCGAATGCTTTCTAACATAGATTAATACAAATCTTCTCTTATAGCTTTTCTCATGTCTGCTTTGGCATTTTAAACCAATAAACATCTTCCCATTTTACAAAATGTGATACAAATGGAGTTTCAGACTATTTAATGAGGACTGCAGGTTCAAGGCCTTATTAAAGCACTGCTGGGCGTAGTAGATTTTCAACACGGTAATTATTTCCTGAATACTAGAAGTTGCTGAAAATATTCCAAGCTGTGATTTTTCATACTGCATAATCAATCAAATTATAGCATTGTGTTACATTATTTTCACGTTTTAATCTTAAGTAAGGTCATTCTCAAATTAGCTGGAACAGACAGTTTAATAGTAGGGATATATGTAGTCAATGATAGATGTATAACCTGTTTATTATTCTTTTAGTTGCAGATGTTGGCTGCTATGCTGCAGTACAAAGCATGGTAGCTTCTCTGATATAAGGAGTCTTCCTTATGGAAGAGGTAGCAACATTATGGAGAGCTAGGATGTGTCTAGGATGTGTCCTGTTATGTAGGAACAGTCACATGAAGGTTGCAGAAGTTAGTCCTATATCTTAGAGAGTAGTATAGAAGATAGGTAAGGCCAAAATAAAGATCCTAAACCACTTCTTAATTGCAGCTAAGTATGAAAGTACTCAAAACGTACTAGATTTTAAAGTTTTGATGGTAATTTCTCAAAGTGTCTAAATAATCTAGATCATAAATCTACATAAATTTGCATCATAAGCTTGTATGTCTTCACAATGCTCATCAGGTAGGCAACTAGCTCACACTTTTCAGCTGGTATTCCTCTGCTGACATGCCCTGCAGGACTCAGTTTAGTAAACGTTCAAAGCACACATACTTTATTATGCTCTTTACAAAAGATGGCCAGAGAAAATGTAAATTTTTTGTGATCCTCCTGTGCTTCATCAGACTAATGGTTAGACTGTTCTCTCCATATGTGGAAGACACAGTTTAATAATCTTTCCAGGCAGAATTTGGACCAGAATCTTCCCATGTTAATTTTCTGGCTAGCAAACAAATGTTATTTTTCAAAAGGTTCTGAAAATCTTCCTTTTCAACGTGTTTCACTTTGCAGAGGATACCAACAAATTTATTGGATAAGTCAAAAAGAAGATGCAAAAATTAGTAGAGCTCGAGATTACATTGCTCAGTTATAAGAAATGAGACCAGTTTCTGCACCAGTGAATGTAGCCAGAACAGTATTTGTGGAGAAGCCATCACTTGGAGACACACTCTCTACATGCCAATTCTCTGTGCTGGCTAACTCTTCTGTTGGCCCAATAAATATTTGATTATTCCATAGATGATAAAGCAACTTCTAACTCTGAAAAGTCAAGGCCAGGAATTCTGATCACAAATCAGTATCTTCCTGTATCCAACAGTAAGTCAGGTAAAATCCATTCTGTGTCCAGGGGGATAGGACATTTTATTCCAGACAAATCCTGTCCTCAGCATCTCATGGTATCTGGCCCCCATTCAGCACGCTGGATTCTGTAGAAAGTATTTTCAAGCACCTAATCCCTCCTCATGTGTTACTTAGGGAAACTAGGCACTAAGGTCAAGGTTGTGGATTGCCTCTGGCACAGGGGTTCTGAAAAGATATAACAAACAACTTTCCAATCCTAAATCCTTTTTCTGTCTAGTCCAAAGTTGGTTAAAGTTGTCCCGAGATCTATAAAACTTGAATTAATGAATTAATGGTAGGTATTATGTGATAGCATCCTGCATATATAAAAGGTCCCATACCTCAATATAATAAATTATATTATCTAGTATGCACATATTAATCATGAAAAAAAGAAAATTTAATAAAGAAAATTATTCGTATTAACTCATAAGGCTACTAAAAACACTAATAAAACTTTCATAAAAGAACAAAACCTGAATACTAAACTATGCACCTTTTCTTGCCAAAACAAGAAGATGATTTAATTTTTCTAAAATTACCAGAAAATTAAAGTTCACAACTGTAAACCACAAATTTGTTCTAAAGGTATTTAAAAAATTAGAATATAATAATAACATATTGTTACCTCTAGATTCTTGCACAAATTGCTCAGTTCAGATGGTGTCTCTGGGCCTTTCTCACATTTTTCTCTACTTTCATCCTTTTTTTTTTTTTTAGGTGATATGACTGTAGCTTTTCATAACTATGTGTCAGCTTTGAAAACTAAAAACGAAATCAGAGTTGAACATGCAGAATCTATCAAAGATGACCATGTGGCCAAAGTTTTCTTTAAGCTAAAATCACCAACTGCACCTTCAGCATTCTAAGTAGTTAATCAATGTAACAAAGAAACAATTAATAAAGTTAATTTCATAGAGATGAACACGACAAAGCTCTCATATAAATGTTAATTAACTATTCAAACGAGTTGATTTGACAGCTGCTTAATTCTGCTGAAATTCTTTGTAGCACTGCTACCCAGTGTCATTTCCTCTCCAATGTTTATATCTACACTTGTTTACTGCCATCTTGTGTTGACATTTTTAAAGGGTGCTTCATTAGCCAGAACGATGGATTATCAATGTAATTTAACCTTGCACGTTGCTTTTTTAGCATGGAAATTGTAGAAATGTTACGCCTGTGGTGATTGCATTCCTCTGGAATCATTAAGCACCCAAGAGCATCTATGAGCATTACACACTAAATACTGTTCTGTCTATCCATCTTACCATCAAATCATGGCTTACAAGTCTGAGGCAAAGGAGTCAGAGGCAGACAAGGGAAGGTACCAGCAGAAGTACCAGCCTCTTCAGAAGGTATCACCCTCTTCAGAAAAAAGGCCAGTTTGACCATTGGGTATACTACACAAGCAAAGGGCTAATGGCTATTAAGAGATTAGGTACAGCAAACCAGTATCTCTGGTAGAGATGTGTACATCTGGTCTGGAAAATAAAAATAAACAAGGATACTGACAAAGGAAACACTAAAAATATGGTCTTGAGGGAAGCTGAGTGAAAGAACTGTGTGGAGAATGTTGAGTAGAAAATAAGTTTATATCTACAAGTACTGGTCATGTCTCTTGTTTTGTTCCTTTAAATTCAGGTATATGTGACTTAAAAAAAGTCTGACTCTAACGTAAAGTTCTTTGTCTAACAACAAAAAAAATCCATAAAATCTCATATTTTTGTTAACTACTCAAGTGGACTACAATCTGGAAAAGAAATTACTTCCAAGGAAGTAACTGGAAATGGAATGGAATGGAATCTTATTGAAACAACCTGGAATGAGCAACAGATGTCTGTGCAGATAACAAAGATGTCTAAAGAAGTTCAGAAAAGATACTGAACAGGAACTGGAGTTAAAAAGTCATCGGAAGACTTCCTAGAGACATTTGAGACGATTTTGGGCACTTGTAATATGGAACAGCGGAAGAGAATTGAAAGGATGACCAGAAGATAGATTATTTTAGAGTAGAAAGTTTCATAAAATGGGAATGTTCAGGGATAGATTTGACCAGCTTGGAATTTCTGAATAAAAACACCTGTAACATGGACTTACAGAGCTGAGATATCGCCTTCAAAACAAAATCAAAATTCTTGCAGAGAAGCTGCCTGTATTTGAAATTGACCTTGCCGGGAAGAGGCAAGAGAACTCAGTTAAGATAAAATATTTAAGATGGGTCAGAGCATCCATGCTCAAACAGCATGGAACTCATTGCCTTTGGAAGAAAGATCCTTTTTCAAATAACAAGAGTCTGAATCTATTATGGCATATGTGAACTGCCTGGGAAGAGCAAACTCACATGAAGACAGTTATTGGACTGTTCATGTTAAAAAGGCTGGAATATACAGGATCTAACACTTCAGCAAATCAGTCTAAAATGGAACAGAATGGCCAAAAAGACAACATTTAGTTTTAATATTAGATTTATTTAATGAAAGTAGGATGTATCATACAGATTATAGTCTGGATCTTATAATGACTCGAAACTAGGCTAAAAGACATGAATCTTTTCATTTAATGCCAGATATTTGCTTGGAAAATGAGGCCCAAGTAGTTCTATTGCATGTTGTAAAAGTGAAAAAAAAAAAAAAAAGAAAAAGAAAAGAAGCATCAGTTCTGGGGTAGAATTCATCTAATTTTGGATTTCTGATAGTTAGACATCCAAGCCAGAGCTACTCTCTGTTAGAAAAAGCTTTCTCCAAATGCTTAGTCATTTCAGCTATCTTAAATTCATGTCATACACTCACATGAATCATATTCTAGGGATGTCCCTTTCCCTCCATTGATTCTTACAGGAGCCTGAGGTAGCTCAGAAATAGTCATCTAGCTTTTAAATGTCTCAGTGAGACATTTAAAATTAGTTGCTAAAGTGCTTAGAGTAAGAATGGATTCTCGTTCTTTTGCTCAGGAATTCCTGTAATTTTTCAAAATGAGAATAACTACTAAACATTAATATAGAAAAAAAAAGAAAATAAGTAATGAAGATGAAAGCCTGAAGTTTTTGCTATTTAATTATGACAAAATGTACACTTGAATTAATGCAGCATCATGGGCTAAGAGTTTCAGGTTACACATCAGGAATTATTTCCCTGATAAAAAAAAAAAAAAAACCAACAGGTTTCTGTATTCAACAGACACACAATAAGTTCAGTGGGACTGTTGCTTATTAAACAGTTGCTTTTATCAGTAGCAAGGCTAAAAAGCACCGAGGACCACAGGAGCAGTGTAACAGAGAGAAATTTGTTCTGAATAGAAAAGCATTCTGAGATTTACAAAAAGTGATCCTTTCTCTTTCTACTAAGATTAGGAAGGAACAAAAACTGGGAGGAATTTTGAGACTATATCTACAGCAAAAGATACAATGCTACTGGTAAGTAGTAATTCACCATTTGTGCAAAACTAAATTGTAGCTCTTAAGATTATACAGTTACATCACTTTCAGGAGGTATAACTTTCAAGTGAGGATAAGAACCAGAAGAAGAGAGACAAAAGAGTTAAGGCAAAGCTTAATATTATCAGGAAAGCTCTATATTTTAGATATGAGTTTGTGCAGCTAAGAATGGGGGACATTAAAGTCATTCTATTGTAGATACTGCAGCATGGTAATTTAAGAAAGAAACAATAAGGAGATGTGGTGAATGCTAGAGGAGCAGAGTGGGATGTTCCTACTGTTTAGTGTAGGTGCTTGGAATTGTTCTGGCAGGCAAACTTCCTGTTTATCACATAGAGAATCTAGGCAGGCCTTCTACCTTTGGCACTCAACAATTTACTTCTTCAGTCAGTGTTCACTGGATGGATATTTCATGAAGAAACATGGTTTGGTGACAGGAAAGGAATTGGAATCAGAAAAGAAAAGGTAAATGGCATCAGTGCTGGAACCTTGAGTAAAATAGGAAGACTGACAGAGGAAGAAATGTTTGGAGGCATAGACTGGGAAAGTGATGTATATTCTTAAGAGCTAGCAATCCAAACCTTTTTCATAAGGATAAAGGTACAAGCAATCAGGAAACTGGAAGAGAGGTTAAGTGATCTGGGTGGCAACTGAAAAGGAGAATCTTGGCAAGAGGTATAATGAGGTTTACAGAGAGAAGCTTGTAGCTTAGGATGTGTCAGACTGTTAAAAAGAAGCATAGAGAAAACAGATTGGCCATGGAAAGGACTTGCAGGGTGATCAACAACTTCAATATCAAAATCTTTGTGAAAAATGACGTAGAATTTCAATCCCAGAAAGTTCAATTTCGGTGAAGTTCTTAGCAACAACATATAACATAACAGTCATTTTTAGCATGTGATTTAACAAAAAAAAAAAAAAACAAACAAACAAAAAAAAAAAAGTGAAAAATACTGCAGCAAATGTGAAAAAGGATGAGAAAAGAGAGATATGCTGTATTTTGGGGGGTAGTTTCACACTGCTAAAGGTACCTTACAACTTACATAGAAAAAGTCACATTGGTTTTGATTTTCATTGTATGATGTTTATCTTCTCAATAATCATGCTAAGATGTTTCTTTTTCTGTAATTTGTGTACACTATAAAATAGCTTTTGTTCCTAGCTACTTTCCTAAATGACTAGAAGTGTTAATTACATAACAACCAAAATATTCTCTGCTTACTCACAAAACTGTTTGCCAAATCAATTTCCATATACAAAAGAAGAAACAGGTTAAAGGCAAACAGGTTAAAGGCAACAAAACTTTAACAATAAGTTATACGTGTATTCATTTGATGGAACTAGGTAGTGTTATCACCTCTAAATGAAAGTTATGATATCCTATTTATGCAATTCAAGATGATTCTATGTTAAGTATGATGACTGGAAATTTTCAATTATAACACTAAATCTCTGGTAGGAGATTGTAGCGAAGGAAGCAGTAAAATAGCAGGAAAAACAATGCAGAATTGTCTATGTGAACTTCTTAAAATCTGAGAAACAGAATAGGCTGGAGTTCGTGAAGATCAGATGAAAATTGATTAATGGTTGAGGTGGAAAATAATGAAGAAACAAAAAGATAGGCAGAGGGCAAACATAGACGTATAGAATCATGGAATGTTAGAACCACAGAATAGCTTGGGCTGGAGTGGACCTCTAAAGAACGTCTATTCCAACCCCTCAAGAACCCTACTCCATTACATCAAATTGCTCAAAGTGCTGTCCAACACGACTTTGAACATTCCCAATGATAGAGCGTCACAGCTTCTGTGGGCTATGTGCTAGTATCTCACCACACTTACTGGAAAAAAGAAATTCTTCCTTGTGTACAATCTGAATCTACTCTTTAAATCTTCAGTTTAAAACCATTGCCCCTTCTACTGTTATTACAAGCTCTGATAAAATTCTCTCTCTGTCTTTCTTACAAACCCCCTTTAAGTATTGAAACGCTGCAGTAAGATGTCCTCAGAGCCTTCTCTTCTCCACACTGAACAACCCCAACTCTCTCAGCCTTTCTTTATGGCAGAGGTGTTCCATCCCTCTGATCATTTTCATGGCTCTCCTCTGGACCTACTCTAACAGGTCCACGTCCTTCTTGTACTGAGGACCCCAGAGATGGAAGCAGTGCTCCAGGTGGGGTCTCACCAGAGCAGAGTAGAGGGGGAGAGTCACCTTCCTCAACCTGCTGGCCACACTTCTCTTGATGCAGCTCAGGATACAGTTGGCTTTCTGGGCTGCAAGCGCACTGTGAAATAAATAAAGCCAAAACAAATTCCCAGTGTCAATAATCTTGGTTACTATAGCCTTTATACTGGGTTCCCTTATGGAAAGCTATCAGACCACTTTAATAATCCCTGCAAATCAGGCAAACGAAAAGCAGAAAAAAATTACAACAAAGACATGATAAGAACAGTTTCAGTCTTAAAAGTCCCAATGTGCATCAGAATCTTATTAGCAAGAATATAATTGTCTATTCTATTCATTCACCAAAGTTTTAATTTATCAGTCCAAAGTCAGGAAATCGAGTATCTGTCTTTGTAACAGATGTCACAATCACATCAAAATCCAGCCAAAGAGTTTGGACACGTCAGTGCAGAAACGATAATAGAGCCTGGTAGTAAGCTGTAGTCATGATCATTTGTATGACATGATTCATCTTTCCCAAATCCATAAAGGTATATCTATACCATTAGGCACATATAAGCTTATTATACTGCAATTATAAAATAATGAAACTGACATTTTTCTTGCTTGGGATTGCAGTGATGGAAGCTGATTTTCATAATTCTGAGCCGTTTCATACTTAGTTTTCTGTAAGTTTCCCAGTTTCTGTTGAAGTAGTCCCACCTACAGTTAGAATAAGCATGAAGATATACCTTTTCTGAAGTGTTCCAAAATATGTTATTTTTTTAACAGTAATTTGAAACTTTGAAAGAAGAAAATTGCTTGAAAGATAGATATTAAAATTATAAATTAATTCAGCCATTTAATAATAAATCTGCATACCACAAATCCAGACTGTTTCAACTTCAAGTTAGGGATTTTGTAGTGAAAAATCTCATTGTGTGCTTGTGTTATGATTTAATGATAAAACTATACAAGTTTGTCAAGAAAAAAACATTTAATGAAAGATTTTCTGACCCAGCTACATGAATGAGCTGCTGTGCCTAGTTGTGAAAATTTTGCTTGAATGGCTTATATAATCATATAAATACTTTCATCTACTTCAGTACAAATCATGGGGAAACACTGTAGACTTATTTTAGCTCCCTAAGTACAGTGCCATTTAATATATCCTGGATTATCCAAATTTCACAGACATCACATATATGACAAATATTACACAGACCATACATGACACCTATGTTTTTCTGGAGGGGCAGCAGGAAGCTAGGTAGAATATGTAAAATATTTCAGGTATCTCTGTACAGGCAGACAAATTGATCCTTTAAGGATTAGCTAGCTGAATTTTTCTCTTGGGTCCTCTGACTGGAATGACTAAGGACAAGATCCTGATTGCTCGTTAGGGACAGTTACTTAATTTTCAAAACCACCAGTGGCAGTTTGAACACCTAGCTCACACAAGGATGTCCATGTGTAAACAACCAACTTCAAGTAGAATTATAGAACCATTTAGGTTGGAAAAGACTTTTAAGATCATTGAGTCCAACCATTAACATTGTCTTGAGATAGAACTGAATGATGTGCTAGGATTTACTGATGCTTCTGAATAAATATTCAGAAGACAAGACTGTGAATTATGGGCATCACCAAGCACACTGGGGCTTTCTGTTTGGTAAGCAAGCCTAAGTGACAATGCAGTTAGAATCCTCAATACTAATAATAAAATTATCATACAAAGACAGTTTATCATGCAAAATGATTAAAATCAGGTATAATCAGGAATTACAAAGGCATAATTTTGTGAAATGTTTTGAACTGTACATTTCCATTTAACATTTTTGATTAAACTAAAAGTGTTGGCATTTAGAAAAAAAATCAAATTATCTTTTTACAGCTAAACCAAGAGTATTTGATTTAGACTGAGGGAAACAGAAGAAATATGAGACTTTCGATTACATTTTTACAATCACTTTTCAGAACAGAAGCACACTTTAAACCAAGGATAATTAGTGACCTTTAAAGGGTGTTTGGTATTTTTATGTGACAGAACAAACAGGTCTCTTTATTGAGCATTTAGAGGATACTATTGACTAACTACCAGAATAAATACTTTCTTTATAGAATGTGATATTCTTAAATACCTCTTGACCTTTTCGATCTGGTTTGCTTTGGGCACTTGCTAATTGTTGGTCCTAGATACCCATCTTCACTTCTAAAGCTTTCATCTTCCTTCCCCGTTCTGCTTCCTTGCTGTTTACCATGATGTTAGTTTGATGCATTAATTCCTGAAGTTCAGCTTCACAGAGAGAAGCTCTAGTAAAAAAATATTTAAAAATACTTTCAAACAAAAAATAAGAGAGAAAACAAATTTTGATTTACATTGCTAAGAGTTTAATTCTGATGGAAATAACTATTTTTCAACATCAGAAAGAAATAAATGGTAGGTGGAATCTCACTTTATCCATCTTAAGTTTGCCTGAAGTCAGATTCAAACTGGCATATTATGGACTATTTGCCTAGTTTAAATGCTGTTTGATTGCCTCTAACTCTTTCAGGGATGAGCTGTGAAATGAACATAAGCTGAGTTGAAAGTATCCATGCCAAACCTCAATGGACAAGAGTAGAAGTTGAATATGAAGTTATTTATGGGCACAGGACTTCTCACTAAGGGTATATAATGATGGAAGCAGAGTTCATTGGAGGAAGTTATGAAGCAGCTGGCTTGAACACAAACCACAATTCTTAATTGCTAGTTCAACTTTTGCACCCTGTTTTCCCATTCTCTTTGTGGAAAATGGACTTAAATAATAAGGCAACTGGTATAATAATAGTAAGTTTTAATTCTACTAGGAAGCACAGAAGTGAGTGAATTTGGAAAAGAACTTGTGTTTGAGAGACTGTGTGCTGAATTTCATAGAGATTTGTACAATATCTACAACATAGACTTTGGATTTTTCCCCAAACTTCTGAGATGAAATTTAGAAAACACCCCTTACACTACAACCTCATTGTTGGTAATAGTCAATGTTTTACACTGTTGCTTTAGGAATATGGTGTGTCTTAAGTGACAAAGATATATGTTTACTTTATGGTATATTAGAAGGGCCATCAGAAACTAAAAGCAGTCAAAGTTGCCCTCTTAGTTACCCTCTTATTATGTATTAATTTTAAAAAACTTAACTTTGTCTGAACAGTCTCAAATAATGTTTAAATCAGTTGTTGTATACCATTTAGCAGATATATATAAAGTATCTGAATTTTAGTATGGAGTTTTTTTTTATTCCATATCCATTCCAACTTTGTTGATGAATATAAGAAAAAAATTGAAAAAAGATAAAGATATTATAGAAAATTTGGCTCTGGTTACTTCTTTAAGCAAGAAATTGCTTAGTTCTTTAAAACTTTTTATTTGTAGAAATGACTATTTCATATCAAAATTATACAGTCCTTCTAGGATGTATGAGATTTTTTCCTGAAGTATTTTTTCCTGAAGTATTTTTGAGACTTTCTTGCCCAGTTAGCCTTGATTGTTAAAGAAGTAATAACTTCTCTCAATCTGTAAATTTACAGCTGACATTTCATATTTGCAATGATTTTTTTAAAAGTCAGAATCCTTCTAGAACTCATGGATCTATTCAACGTCAGTGAAACATTCCAGTCAGAAAAATAAATTGTATCACAATAATTTATAATTAAATAAATATGTTTGTTGAAGTGTTCCTGAACATTTTATTTTCCTGCTTTTCCTTATTTTTCCTTATTTTACTGCTTCTTGCCCACTTAACCAATGGCATTACTCTATTGTTAACTATCCCTCCTTTCTCTCAATCAGTTAAAGTGTTAGTAAGCTGCTAGTTTTACACGTGCTTTCTCTTTCCTTTTTAAATCTGTCATAGTGACTATTCATTGTACAACTGAAGTTTAATCTGCATTTAATTTCCATTTCCTCATACTGTTGCATAATTTTCAAGTCTCTTCTTTTTCCTTTTCAAACATTTATCTTCTTCTTTTCAAATATAGGCTTCTAATAAAAACTTAGAAGCCTGTATTGGATTGCCTATTGATAAAACCAGCAATTGTACTCTTTAAAGACAATTTGTTAACTATCCATCCTGGTATCTAAACTGATGCAAAAAATGTTTTGTAACCTATTACTTTTCATGATAATAACTTCAGCCTGATAATAAACAAGTTCATTCTCTTAAAATAATCTAAGAATTCTGTGAGTTTTTTTTGAGTTATGACATGTTCCATTTTCGTTTTATTAATACTATTTCTCTCACTGAGATTTTCCCCAAAAGTGATAGCCACTGATAATAATTTAATTGGTTCTTTATAAAAATTTTAAAGGTATGTATTCTCTTGACTGACGATGGTACACACCTCTGTGCACATGTGAAGTGTCTTTCTGAATGCTAATAATTTTACGGCCATTCTAATATCTCTATGGCATGATGGTTTGTTAAAATGAGCATAGCTATTTCCTTAAAATGAGCATAGCTATTATTTTATGAAATAATTGCCATAGAGACAGTCATAGGGAGACAAGAGATGGTGCAGCATCTGAATAACACAGCAGCAACCTACAAAAGTGTTAATAATAAAAAGCACAACTGTATGCCTGTAACCACGCCACCCTAGGAAGTGTTGGAGAGGATTTCAATAACCAAAATTAGCACAGAATGTCATCTTAGGTCATGAACATTACAGCCTGGCATACGTTTTTGGGGGACATCATAGCCGAGAATGTTGCAAGCAATTAGGAAAGTAACAGTAAGCCAACAAACATGCTTCTCTACTATAAATGGATGTGCAAACTAATCAGATGCTTCTAGTCCAGGCAGTTGATACCACCATCTTGTGCAATGCTATCACAAAAAAGCTTCCTTTCTTTTCTGGTAATCTTAAGCATCTCATCTGCTCAGCCACCCCTCCAAATGTCTGCACTTCCAGTGCCCGTGCAGATATACTGAAGTCCCCTGTCTGTAGTTTGTGCTCTGGCTCAAGTGCTGGCCCTACAGGCTCTGTTCTTCATATCCTGCATGCTCAGCTTCTGGTTGCACTACAGTACAAAAAGAGTTCCTTAACTCTTAACATCGATTAACTTCATAGCATAGATTGGGTTGGAAGGGACCTTAAAGGTGGATGAATGGATATGTGTTTATTTAATATCTTTTTTTTTCATGCTTAAATGGTGCATATCTCTTGTGTGAATAACTATTACAGGAAACTGGAGCAAATTTGTTAGATTTACAATATAATAATTAAACTACCATTTTTTGTAAAAGTAAAATTCTTTAAAACTTTTCTTTTCATCAACAAACGCTTGAAACTTTTAACATTATCAGTGATAAGCTTGGAAAGGCTTTTTAAATACATACATAAATCTTAATGCCTTTTTGATGTCAAAAAAACTGTTTGCAATGCCATTTTAAAATTTGAGTCATAGAATGGTGATCACCAAAGCGCAAACAAGTGGTACACTGTGATGTACGTATCACAAAACAAAAATATTCCCCTCTCAAGTGCCTGAAACTCATCTTAGTATAGCATTAATGATGCACCAAACTCTGATCCCCTCTGGGTGGAATAGAAAATGGGATTTTAAAAATTGAAGATAGAGTGATACTGCATCAGGACTACCTTTTCTTTGATACTGCTATATAGACCTGTTCCCTTGCAGCCTTGTGTAATGTCGGGTGCCAACACTTTGGTGAACCACCAGCAATGACTCAGCTATCTGATTTTAGATTTTACTTTCTTTATTGTGTGTCACACAGATCATCTAAATATTGTTACACAAGTGAAAAAGCAACCTCTAGCCTGGATCATCAGGTCACCCTTTCAAATCTCACATGGCTGACATCTTTCTCTCTTAAATTTCACCTATCTCTTCCACGTCATCTGCACAAGGCAAGTTCTCCAGCTGTTGCAATAAAATTTTCTCTCAAAAGTTCTTGCATGCTTCTCGAACCTAGAACCATCAATACATAACAAGGAGTTGTTGATGGAAAAATCCCTTCTGATACAGCTTCTCAGTCTATCTTCACCTTCTCTGTCTAACTCCTTGCCTTGATCCTCCAGGTACATCTGCAGCTGAAATAGGAAAGCTGGACCTGAAGCTGTAGATTACTGCTGCTGTTCCATGACCAGAACCACTCTGTATCATGGCTGTGACATTACAACCAGATCTGTGCAAAGATGTATTTTGCATCTATCCTTACCTATCAGCACAGAGGTACAACTAGTTGCTGTAATTATTATTTCAGTCCATTCAGTGTTTTGAAAAGACTGCTAGCTATCCCCCTCAGAACATGGACAATCATGTGATGTCACAGTCATGAGAATTAATTTTGATCATTGGATGTAGAATAGGGAAAACTCTGGTATCTTTTGTTTAACATGCCATCAGGTAAAAAAACACACAAAGAACAAGTTTTCCAACACAGTGAAGAAGTATGCGTGTGTTTTTTTACTGACATGCATTCAGCATTCCCACTTTGCTCAATGCATACATCAAACGGATTCCACATACACAGAGGTAATGACTTGTACTTAGCAAGTGGCAGTTATTTTTTTTTTAGTCACATTTGCTTTGGAACAGCTCAAAACACTTAAAGGTATCTAATTTTTAAAGTGATGTAGGCAAGCTCTTAGTTTGGTGACTCTTATTGGTGAGAACAGAGATGATTCATATTCTGCTGTCATTAATAACTATTTATCTTCATGTAAAATCTATGTGTTTTCAAATTTAGAGAAACCAAAATCTAGATAATAATTTTTACCAACTCCAGGTCTTTATCCTTATCACAAAGGATTTTTTCACCAGTTACAGTTCCTTAGCTCTCTTCATCTGTCTTTTGCTTTGGAGTTTTCCTCAGATCTGTATTTTTCTGTTTCCTAATAGACATAGAAAGTATATTATTGTCCATACCATTTAGAATGAAGTTGAAATTTAGAAACTAACTTGTAAGAAATGTTTGGTTCATGCTGTCAGTCTCCATTTCGTGCCTTCTTCCCCTATTACTCAGGTTTGCTGACAAATAGAAAAATATGTATGACCATATTTATGTAAATACAAGCAAAACAATGTTAACCAAGATTTTCATTTACATTGTACATTCATCCATTTTTGATCCTTAATATTAGTTCATTTTATCTTAAAACTTGCTTTAAAAATAGGATATATATAAACCAGTTGTGATACAGCAGTCCATTAGAATCTCCTATCCCAAAGTTCCATTACATGAATTACAACTGGTTTATGCAACAACTTTCGGCCACACAGAATCATACATGTCTGTGGACGGATAATCTGTCATTTATGAGTTCTTGCACCTGGGATGTAATTGTCATGATTTCCAACACCATTATTCAGCCATCTTCTCAAATTTTAAATTATCTCTGGATTACTGTTAGCATAGACTGAAACAAATGTCTACTATCATTAGATGTGTATTATAAAACTACTCTTCCAGATTCTTTGTATAGTTAATGGAAATAAAATGCTACCAAGAATACCTGGTTTATGATGGGACAAATCATTCTCTAGATTCATCTGCAATGGCCTGAAATTTCACATATGTTGATTACAAAAAAGGCCAGGCAGGATCTGAACTTTCGAAATAGGCTTCTAATCTGTTAAAACAGTATCCAAAGAAGAACCATTATTTTTTTTTTTTAAATGCTAGGTTTTGTATAACTGTATTTACCCATCATATCATTAACAAAAAGGATGCCCCTCAAAGCCAAAAGAAAAGGCCACATTGTTCAGAATGTAGTATTTTACTGCAGCAGTTTTTTTCTATCATGAAAAGTGCACACATAATTCTTCAGCACAACTGAGCACACTTTCAAATCCTATTAAAACTTTCTTGGGCCAGAAGTTGTGATAGAATATGTATGTTTCTGTTATTTTAAGAAACACTTTTACACTTAATATACATCAAATTACATTGGACTGCTTCTTGGTAATAATCTTAGATTATAAGAAAAATAGGTAATGTTAATAACAAAACAAAAAAAAAGAATTAAATAGTAGGTCGTGTTAATTTAAACAATAAAATAACTAAACTTGGATTATGTCAAAAAAAGATGATTGCATTGTGACTTGATGCTTGGGAAGAACATTTGTGGTTATTATCTCTGCAAAAAAAGACTTTAGCAATTAAAAGCCTTTGTTTAAGATTTTTTAATGCTTTAAGACCTGTGATAGGTAAGTTTTTATTGCTGTAGCCTAGCAACTTCAACTGGTTTTTAACACAGTTTAAAATAACATTTCTTAACATCTTAATAAAACGGTACACAGCTTTCATTTTTTCCCCTTTTGTTCAAGTATGTAGATTAAAAAAATTCAAATAACTAACAGAAAGAGTCAGTAGATTATTAGCTAAAGTGATAAGGAATGTTGCTTTAATTACCAGTAACCTTTCCAGTTTGCGTAGACAACAGCAGAAGTAGTCAAGAAAGAATCACGTTTGCCTCTAAAATCATTAATATTTTGTGTTTCACTTTTCTAATAAATCCACATAATTAAATTCCACTATATATTCAACTCCCAGACAATAGGTCATTACTTAGCGACAGCTTGCTCCTGAAACACTTCAAAGTCCTGCTTCATAATACTGATCATGGGTTTAACCTGTTGAAACAACAAAACCAAAATATTTCAGATTTTTAAATGTGTGCACTGACACAGGCGAGTAGCACACACTGGATAGTTCTGTAGTGTCCTTCGCATTTTTGTATTTCTCCCATTGCAAACAACAAGGGCAGGGGAACGTAGCTCTAATTACAGGCTGGAATGGGCAAGATGGCAAGTTCTGGAGTAAGTTCAACTCTGTGCCAGCAGCTCCTGCATTTAGTGCAGCACTGAGATACCAGAGGTGGTGCTGGCTTGAAGATAGCCCTGGATTTCCATGAGGAAGCTTCTTTTGGATCATTCCCTGTTGTGTGATGTCAATGATTTGCCAGGACACTCTAAATCACACAAACTTAAATTTGTCATAGATCTGTGGCTGCATTCATCAACCATTTCTCATATCTTCACACATGACAATTAACCTATTCCTAGGCTATACTTGCTCCCAAACACAGTTTTTGACTCCTATTAACTATTTGCTCCCTCGCTTAGCAGATGTGATGCTGAGACACACAGCCCTCAAATACCTTATCAGAAACATCCACTGCAGCCTTGGCTCCACAGGGACCAGGCACCTGAGGTGACACTGCCACAGGACCACCACGCTTGGCTCCACAGAGCACCAGCACCCAAGATGACACAGGCACTGGGGCAGCCTTGGCTGTGCCAGGAGCCTGAGGAGACCGGGGTACCACAGGTACGTTTGCTTTAACATAATTTAAAGAAATCAGTAGGCAGGGTGTGGGTTCCCTTCTCTCCCCCCTTCTTTTTCCTTTAAAGTACTATTATTACTAAATAATGAAAAGGTTAAACACTGCCCTTTTCTTTTTGAATGACTATCTAGGCTTTTGCAAAATGGCTTCAAATGATTTTCAGGTTATTGTGCAAACGACCTAGGTTGGGATGACACTTCTCATTACATTTCTGTGGACTTCAGTCTGTCTTATTCAACAACAAAACACTTTTAAGAATTACAGCTATTTCATGTTGTTAGAATAATAATTTGTGCTTCCAAACTTAGGGTTTATAGATCTTTTCAAACACCAGGGTATTTTTCTACCAGGGTAGCACAATTCCCTCTGTACTTTTTGTCATGAAATTGCATGGAGCATTTTTGAGAGCTGTTTGTCTATTTATGGACACTGAATTTTAAGCTTTTGTTTTGTTTTGCTTGGACTGTTTACTTAAATTAGACAATTGAACAATGTTATTAATGTCAATTCTAAGCAATAATCTATTTAATTTGGTCCTTACCTACTGTGCTAAGGAAAATGGTTTTCATGTCAGCAGAAACACTGTTTCAGGGTATGAGTTATGAAAAATATTTTTTAAAATGCAAAATTAAAATAATAAGCAGAGTTTCAGGAAAGTTCCTGATAAAATTTGCTTACTCACTCTAGAAAATACTTTGACAATTTTCCCTTGTAGTTCTCTTAATTATTACAAAAAGGGTTTTTGTTTTTGCACTGCACTTTTTTTCGTGGCTGTATTTCATTTTAGGAAGATGCTGGGAGCTCTTCAGGCCTCTCTTGCTGGGCAGCAGGAGAAGCAGCTGCTGCACAGCACAGCCCCACAGCACCCGGCCCGAAGAGCAGAACGGGGACGGGACGGGGAGTGGGGCTCACCGCAGCCAGGGGAAAGCCCCAGCCCGTGGCGACGGGCAGGCGCATCTGAGGTGGCTCCAGAAGCTGGGTCAGCAAAAGAAGGAGCAGCGAGGTGTGGTGCTGAGCACAGGCACAGCTAGAGCCCCGCTCAGAGGAGCCCTGCTCCTGCCTGGGGCTGAGATGCTGCTCCTGAGCTGGGGCCCCCGGCCAGCAGGTCACGGCTCCGTCAGGCAGCACCCAAGGTTATGGCTGCACCACGCTCTCAGAACCCTGGGAACATTTTCTTCATTGCACCTCTGTAATTACACTTTTCCTCATTATTTACCTACTGTAATAGAACTAATGTGAAAAAATCACACAGAAACATTTGATTTTTGATACCTGAAATGTTTCAATTATAATTTATTCTAACTGAAATACTGTTTTAAGAATTATTTTTTTTTACACCAGTGAAATTTAGGAGGATTTATTTTAAATACTTAACTTTAGGATGTTTTAAAGTATTAGGTACTAGAAATAATTTTAATGTAACTGCCTGCAAATTTCCATTTGTTCATCTGCAGCAACTGGAGTGAACTTTTCAGCCATATTCCCACTGCATATATTTTAATTTCCTCCCTGTCACATCATGTCTCAGTGGTAATCAGTTATTCAATAATTTAACTTCCATATGTCATGCCCAGATAGAATTGGGGCGGGGACAACTTAAATGCAGAAAAATCATTTAAAAATTAGATATCAACATTTTCAGAGCTTTTTAAAAGGACAGTTCCACGGCCTTTAGCCAGAGTTGTGTATCTGACTCCCTGATGTGCCTTTAAATATCTCATTCACTATGTTAGAAAAATCCCATACCAAATCGTGGACATTTTCTGTTTGCTTTTGGTTATTGACACCATGTCTTGACTAGAGCTTGTCTTATGAGACACAAAACTTTTACTTTTTGACTTTAAAAAAAAATGCTTTAAACATTCTTTACAAATTATGATAGTAAGCTAAAAAAAAACCCAAACAAAACCAAACCAAAAAAAAACCAAAACAAAACAAAAACCCCAAACAAAACCCCCTACTTTACAGTCACTTTATAGATTAACATGAATGGAAAGCTATAAGCACACGTATACAGAAAGAAAAGGATCAGGGCATGAACACAACATTGTGACCCAATATCAAACAGGACAAGGTACAACATTGATATTTTTATAAAGCCAAGGGGAATTAGCTAGAGAGGTGCCTTGCAGAGGGATCTAGATAGACTAGCACATTAGGCTGTAATCAGTGGGGTGTAATTTAACAAGTCAGAATGCCAGATCCTGCACCTAAGACAGAGTAATGCAGAAGTATAAACTGGGAGAGGAGTAGCTGAGGACTTTGGATTTGTCTACTCTGGAGACAAGGAGTCTGAGAGGTGACCTCATTGCTTTTTGCCGCTTCCTGAGGAGGGGAAGGGGAGAGGGAGGTGCTGATGTCCCTTCTAGCCAGGGATAGGATGCATAGGAATGGTTCAAAGCTGCACAGGGGAGGTTGAGAAGGGCCATTAGGGAGCATTTCTTTCCCAAGAGGGTGGGCAGAGCCTTCTTAGAGAGGTGGTTGATGCCCCAAGACTGTCATTATTTAAGAAGCATTTGGAAAATGCCATTAGTAACACACTTTAACCTTTGGTCAGCCCTGAATTGGTCAGGCAGTTGGACTACATGATCATTGTAGGTGTCTTCCAACTGAAATTATTCACTTCACTTCACTTCACTTCACTTCACTTCACTTCACTTCACTTCACTTCACTTCACTGTCACAACTAGCTGTTAACAAGAAAGCATAGGCAAAGCCAAGTCCAGGGGGTATAATATTCTGTACCCTCAGTAACGTGTCTCTTGCTCAGCCTGGTCCTGGAATGCATGCACCAAAGTGAGATTAACAGCTCCAGTAGAAAAACTGGAAGTAACTTTGTAGAGAGAAATGTTGGTCTCTCAATATCTGGAACACTGAATTTATTTTGTATTTTTTCCCTTTTATGTCACTCTGCAACACGTGTCCTGTCACCAACAGAGTATATGCCACAGACACTCCTGTTTTGGAGAGAATAATGGAAAGTGAGTCTCATTGTGCAAGATGCCTTTTGTCACTGGTGTGGGTTTTACATGAAATCGTTGAGCTCTTGTTGTTAATACCTGTGAAGCACATGTCTATTTTAACAGACTTTGCTGAGAGCAAACATCAATTCTGTTAACAAATCTATTCCACCACCAAATTGTAATATGAGATTTTAAAGAAGTCATTAGTAAAGAAAAATGCTTTTCCTCTAATAATAATTCTGAGATTTTGGTACATTTCTAATAATAAATCAATAATATACAATTCAATATAGCTCAAAAGAGATGGTGTTAGGGGAGTAGCATAACTGAGACGTAATTTAAGTGATTCAATCTACTTGTTATCCTTCCTAGACATTTGTCACCCAAATTCTTCAAGATATGTTATTTTTGTAGTGTAATATGTAACAGTGGGTAAAAGCTAAGTGCATTTGTGAATTTAAATTTAAATACCGTATTTATTTACAGGATATATTCATACCTTACTCTGCAGTCTCAGATGACAAATTTGATTGAACATTTTGTTGCAGTAGGTTCAGTGTAGCTCTCATAAGAAACATGCTCATTTCTTTAATATAGAAATCATATGGGTTTAGTGATATTTATGCGATGGATTCATAGCAGCTCTATAATAGTTTAATAATTGCATTCTGTATGTTGGATCTTTATGGACATACCAATTTACAGAACCTCTGTTAGAAGTGACAGACAGAAAGGAAAAGAAATAGCTCAGTATAAGCCATCCATCAACAAACACGTAGAAGTCACTGAGAGGCAGTAAAACCTATGAAAAAAATCCCTAAGACATAAACAATAAGAGAAGGATGACATTTAAAAAAGAATCTTTGCAAGAGGGATTTCTGTTTGTGAAATTAGAAAGGCATAAAATCTACCTGAGGATTCTGAAGGTTCCTAACTAATTTACTAGCAGGAGGTGATAAATCCTGACATAATACAGACAGTACTGTTCCTGAATGCTTTGTTTCTAGTTTAAACTGAAAACAACTCTTTTCTTAAGCAGCTTATGAGATCACTGAAGGGAAGAACAGAAAGAGCTTGGATTTAGTTGATATTGTCAGGTAAACTGATTCATGTCATACTGTAGGCTGGGACTTAGGCTAAAAGTGGAGAATTGCAAGAATTTATCCTGTAACAGGAAACCAGAAAATGAAAGGGTAAAATTCTAAGAGAGAATGCAGAAAGGGTATAAATGTGTCATTAGGTCTGTTGATGTAACAATTTCAAGTTAATCTTTCTGTGTCAATCCTTAATGATGACAAAAGAT